CTGACTGAACTTTTCATTTAAACTATTGTATCAGATTTATTTCCATATATGGAAGTTGGAAAAACTCTAAATCTTTAGCAGGTGAAATGATTTTGGCCACCATGAAAAATCCAGAAATGAGGCAAATACAGTGAAAAATCGTCTACGGAAGACTATTAGGGCCACTGAAAAAAAAAAAAGTTAACTGATTTAAACATTTTATTTTAGTATAATATGGAAAAAAAAAATCAGAATTCTGAGATTAAAGCCAGAATGACCCATATTATACTGAAACAATAGGTATAAATCAGTTAAATGTGTTTTTTTCAGTGGCACTAATCCTCCTCTGTACTCGTCTGTTCTGTGTGAGACAAATAATATTTAATCTGAATTAGTTTGAGCTAGTTTGTTTTCTCCATTTCCTCCTAACCTGACAGTAATGGCCTCCATAATTACAGGGGAAGCCTGAAATGCTGCACATCCTGCCGTTGCGGGTCAGATGGCCTCATCATGTTGTTACTCAGGGGTGTGGCTCAGAACCGGCCTCTGAAAACGCTGCGCAGGATTCAGATGGACTCTTCCAGAGAGACCTGCTTGTTTTAGATGTTTTTGTTCTTTTGTGTGGTCTGCAGGACAGCGCCCTGCAAAGAAACACACCTCAGCCCCACACAGCTGCACACAGCTGCACACAGCTGCACACAGCTGCACACAGCTGCTAAGGACACTCAGGTGCCTGCAGGTTCTATTATTTCAGCCTCCAATCTAACAGGAAAAGGAAAAGTTTGCTGCTGCTTTTGATCTGAGTTGCTTTGTTGGTGTAAAGGCCTTACAGTTCAAACACAAAGTCACAATGGAGCAAATGGAGCATATTCCAGTTCAAACAGAGATCAAACTGGGATTCAACAAAGGATGTGGCATCAGCACACAGAGGCGGACGGACCATCTGAAAGCAGCGGCTTCCTCTGGGCTTTCAGTCTGGTTTAAAGTCGCTGCAGACAGGCGAGGCCAGTTTGTTGGATGCATTAAAACCAGGAACATTTCCTCCTGCCTCTCAGTCAGACGACTGCATAATGCATGATGTTATTAGTTTAAGTGGTTGAAACGCTGGACGGCCTCAGCTCCTCACTGCTGAGCAAGAACAGAAACCAGGAAACTCAACCAATCCTAAAAAAAACGATTTATTTCAGCTTCAAGCTGCAGCAGAAACAGGATGTTTTTAACATGATGCTGATAATATGCAGACTTTATGGATAAAATTATTTAGAAACAAACGACTCCGAATAAAATCAGATTCCATAAATAAAATAACGGCATAGATGATGCAAAATTGCTCAATTAAAAATACATTTTTTAAATTCCTATTAGCAGGTATTGCTCATACTTTTATTAAGACTCAACAGTTTTAAAAACTTGTTTTTTATTTGCTATGATGTGATATTAGAATCTTATAAGTCAAGTTTTCATTAAAGAAGTTAAATAATAATAATAATAATACATGGTTTCTATAATATTTCTGTGTTCATAAAGTTAAAATAAATCAAAATCTTTACAAGTTTAATATTCATATATCATATAATTCTATGTCTCAGGAAAAAAGTGTTCAAGGTTGGATTCAGAGAAGGTTTGGTGGAAGGAAGAAATGTGGAAGGAGAAGGTAAACCTGCAGCTGAGGCCCCCCTGAGGCCCCCCTGAGGCCCCCCTGAGGCCCCCTGAGGCCCCCCTGAGGCCCCCCCGATCCACGGTTTAAAAAAATAAAAAGTTTCAGACGGTCACGCCTGCCTGACGAACGTTTGTCTGTTTGGTGTGAATCTCAGGAAAAAACCAGCAGCATATCCTGTCCTTGGTGGCGATGACATCATTTCCTGTCTAAAAGAGAAGAAATCAGATCCTCACATCAGCAGAAAGATTCTCGGTTTATTTTTTTAGCTTTATTTTTAATCATAAGTATTTAATGGTGATTTAAGATGCATTGCTTTATTTTTTCTCTTCTCTCTTTTTATTATTCATTTATTTTCTGATGTCATATCCTGTCTGTTTGCTATGACCTGCTTTTTCTCGGCTTGTTCTTGTTTTCATTGATGTTAAGGTTCAAATGTTTGACTGTTAGATTTATCTTTTTTTTATTGGAAATAAAAAATAAAGTTTATTGTAAATAGGGCTGCAGGGTGCTGCAGTTTGCAGCTGCCTTGCAGCAAGAAGGTTCCGGGTTTGATTCCCAGCCCGGGGTCTTTCTGCATGGAGTCTGCATGTTCTCCCTAAACATGCGTGGGTTCTCTCTGGGTACTCCGGCTTCCTCTCTCAGTCCAAAAACATGACTGTTAGGTTAATTGGCTTCTCTAAATTCTCCTTAGGTGTGAGTGTCTCTGTTTAAAATCATGGGCTGCGGCCTTCGAAGGTCAGATTCGAAGGCCTATAATGTCATAGCGCGGCGCCGAGGTCTGGTCGGATTCCAAGACTCCTCGTTATGCGGCCTTAAAATGCGTCCCTAACCTGATTTGAAGGTCGGGGTCTGATGTATCCTCCGTAGCCTCGGATATCCCAGGATTCATTGCGAGACCAAGCAAGCCGGCTGCTCCGTGATCAAAGGAAAGAGGGAAATGGCGCCAAACAGTGGTGAATATTGGAAGTTCAGTTTAATATAATCCAGTCTGTGAATAGTTCCGTCTGAGATTAATGAAAATAGTTGTTTTAATGGTTATAGAGTCAGATATGTGGCGGTAATGTTTGGTTTATCTAAAGGTTTTATCTGTTACTGTTTAAATGGGTTTGGCTGGAATTTAAGGACAGATTATACTATATCTGCAGGGTCGGGACTATAAATCTGATAGGATTTTTATCTTT